TCGCAGTCCCGATAAGTGAGGTCGATGTCACGACGATTTCACTCGTTCGGGTCACGGTAGGCATGACTGTGACCGTGATTACAGATCCAACGTCCGAGTTGCTATGAGTTGGTGTAGCAATGGCAGAGCTCAAAGATGTCGTGACCGGATCTTGAGAAGAGTGTATGGGGAAGCAGCCGATCTGAACACCGGCGGTAAAGTTCATTGGCACAGCAAGACACGACAGGTCGGGAGCACAGTGGCTTATGGCGAAGCTACCAGCACTAGAACATTGACCAATATTGCCATTGATGCAAGCAACTTGGCCAGCCACGCAAGCCGACTGCTCTGTTAAACTTTCAAAAATCTCGTTGTAGGCCTTAGCCTGAGCGACATTAGTGGCATAGATATCAGGCGATACAGTAGTGCCAGACGGGGGTGAAGATGTAATGACAGTAGGTATAGCAGCATTTGGTGTCCCGGTAGGTGTGATGGATGGGAACACAGATGACACTATGTTCGAGGTTATTGAAATAGTGGCTGAGGCGCTTTCGGTCGAACTGGCTACTGATGAGTTGGTTTGTAGTGGGGTGCTAGAGACAGTTGGCGACGAGGTGACGATGTCTGAAGTGCTAGATTGGCTTGGCGTCAAGCTGGTGCTGACTTGTATTTCTGATGCCACCGAGCTAGAAGGAGTCAAGAAAGGCGCTGGGATGAGCTTGCTACCAGCGCTATTGGCGGGTACAGAAATGGAAGCGCTGCTTGTGGCGATGACGGTAGAGTTGCCAATAGCAGACGTCACAGGCCCTATCCGTGACTTTGTCTCTGAGAGGGATGCTGTCACTGTTGACTGGGAGCTGGGACTGGCCGACTCTGATGTAACACCTGGCCTGACAGTTACAGTCGAAGACGGGAGAATGCTGATCACAGGAATGGTTGCTGTTTCCCCTGAAGTAGCACTAGAACTGCTCTCAACCAGACTAGATGATTCGGAGATGGATGTAGTGCTCGGTCCGATGGTTATAGTCGCGGACGGCACGATGCTGATCGCAGGTATGGTTGACGTTGCCACGAAGCTAGAATTGGCACTGCTCCCCATCAGACTAGATGACCGAGAAACGGATGAAGCCCCTGACCCCATATTTGCAGTCGAAGAGGGAGAGATGCTGATCGTAGGGATCGTTGACGTTTCTTCGAGGCTAGAACCGGTACTGGTACTGGCACTGGTCTCTATCGGAGTAAAAGATCGAGAGGCAGATGGAGCCCCTGATCCGATGGTCACAGTTGATGAGGGAAAGATGCTGATCACAGGGATAGTTGACATTTCTCCCGGACCGGTACTGGTACTGCTCTCTATCAGAGTAAAAGATCGAGAGACGGATGTTGAAGAGGTCGGAGCTTGCGTAGAAGAATTAAAACCCGAGCTTATTGATTGCGAAGAAGTAGGTGAAGATATTAATGCCGTGGTGGCGGTGGAAGAAACGGATGAGGTTGAGATGGAGATGGGGGTGGAAATAGTGGATAAAGTTTGGGTTGAGGAGCTTGGCAGCAATGAGTCCTCAGGTGTCATCGATGTAGAGGTTATCGATGTGGAAGATGGTGCCGGCAATGACGAGAAGCTAGTCGTTGAGTTGCTAAATTTCTTGAATAGCAATGGGTATCTAACCACGCCATCTCGTCTTAATCTGTAAGGATGTTAGTTTGTGGGCTTCACGTTTGACTGGGGAGTGACTGTGAATGTTTGATACGTACCTTTTATCGCTCTGCCTCAGCGGACCGGCCGCCGAGGCTCCCGACAACCATAGGAAATCTAAAAAGAGAAGTGATACTTTCATTTTGTAAAAAAAAAAAAAAGAAGAAGAAAAGTGTGTATGTAGAAAAGTGAAAGTGTCGAAAAGTAGGAGAACGAAAGCCGATCAAGAAGAGGGAGGACAAATATCACCGCTCGCGGGACATGGAGCATCAGCAGTCATTCATATCCTTCAAGAAGGCGATAAAGAGGCGTTAATGCTTAAAGGGCTGTCACGTATTCAATCAAATGATGACAATGGCAGTGATAGTCCCTGACCAAAGACACCACAGGTATACGAGAGTTGCGCACGTGGTTGACAAAGAAGACGCAAAGCTGAAAGAAGGAATAGATGTACCCGAAAGAAGCCACCAGGGCCAGGGCCAGAACCAGAACGAGAGACAACGGAGAAGACAGAGAGGGTCAGAGAGAGAGAAAGGGGGAAAGTGAGTGTGAAAAAATTGAAAAAAACTGTCAGCAGTAAAAAGTGAAGATCATCAAGAACCGGCAGAGTATAGAAGGCGGGAGAGACACCCAGCATCTTGTATGAACAAACAAGGGAGCCTGGCCACATTGTGCTCATGTGATACCTCACGCGTAAACCTCGGCGCCCCATTCGAAAGCGTTACACTACTGCATCGGAAGTCTAGACGGAGAGGCATCGAGAGGGCATCGAGAGACCCTTGTAGCTCATGTTGGCCGACTTGGCCGTTGAGGTAGACGAGGATTGGCCAATCCCACGGCATGGACTCGGGCTGTCTCCATCACAGGGCAAGGAATTCGAAGTTACGGGCCCGGAAACAACCGTAAGTAGGTATTGGGGGAATAATGGCGCTAGCGGGCATCTTTGCAGATTTGTCCGAGGGCTCAGCATGTATGTAGTTTAAGCGCCGCGATAATGTGTCGACGTCTCGGAGATATCGAGCATGGGTTGGCGTGGTGTAGGTCTGTAAGGTCCGATGTTTCGGAGAGCGAGGGGAAAGAGACGCGCGGTTACTCGCAATTGGCTCGACCCTTTTCTTCTTTTCCCCGTACGCGCACTTGGCAACCAATCGGTATGCTGCGGCTGCGACACCTGCGACACCTGCGACGGGGAGATGCTTCGTTTGGATCTAGTCTATTTCGAGACAATTTACTTGAATGCTTTGCATCTTGATTGGCGGGTGCATTCTTGAACCCAGATCGACTAGCTCATAACGGTAGCTTCTTAGTGTATATACCATGCCCGAGGTAGTGGACGTTTTGCGCTGAAGTTGCTCAGTACCTTTCTGTAAAACTACACTATCTAGATAAGATAGGCTACCTATTCACGTATCTCTCTACCTATCTAGGTAGGTAGGTATCGTATTTACTGTAGGTATCGTCTCCCATCGTCTGAGACATCCCCGCGTCGTATTTTCCACTTCGCAATCGTTGTCAACAAACGGCCCGCTTCGGTGTCCACGACCACCTGCCCGCATGCCGACATGGCTACATTTTACAGACCAAAACCAGCTTGCTTTCCTGTTCGTCTACCCGACAATGTCCTCATCTCTTGAGATACACCATTCTCAAACGGTCAAACTCCAATAGCGAGGTGCCAACAGTGTCCCAGTGAACAATCACACCGATTACGAAGCGCGTCAACGAACAGGTCGAAATAGGCGGAATCTTGGTTGATAATAACCTGAGCTCCAGTTGCAGAACATCTCCATCTATCTGCCCAACAATTATGAATCACGATCAAAATGAGCACATGAACTACAGGCCGTCAAGGAGACCGCCCTAGCGACATTCTGTTAGCAATAGAATGTTACAGTCCCGTCCCATGACGCCAACCCACAGTACCTTGAGATACTAACAGTGCTCTGTCAGCGAAACATCTAATCTCTGGGGCCATACTATGTGGTAACCCGGCACAAGACCCCAAACTGTGTCTGATGGACACTTCCAATTGCTTGCATTTGCTACTCTATCCCGATATCACCGTTGGATTGCCGACTTCGCTTTACCCTGGTCGTCACACACATAAGACGCTGCTCATTTCCTGTGACGCCGTTACCACCTATCAAGCTAGGCTCCCTGTGAGACTTTATCGATGTATCGATTCCTTCGGGCCCGCAGCGGCCGGGTTTAGCCATCTGCGATGGGTGAACTCTAGATCGTTGTCGAGGTCTGGTTCCTGCGACCTTTAGAACTGGGTCCGATACCCGCGCGCGGAAGACTGCCTCATCACGATCACTTGACTAGCCTACGATGTGATTTCACGGGGCCTATCTTATGACCGAGGTGAGCATTGGGTGTGGTGTGATTGGAAAAAGGCCCCCATCACAATGAGGTGAACATTTCAGCTTCTGGCGGAGTCTACGGTACTTCATGTATCCATTCACACATGGAACTTATTAACCATGTAAGATTCACCCAGAGTCTCTCGTTTTGTGCCTCCTTTAGCCCCAAGAATCGGCCCCAGCTACTACCCATGGCAACCCCCAAATGCACGTGCTTTGGCATAACCCGGAACATAATGTTTCTTTGCGACACATCTTTGGTTCTGGACCTCGTCTCATCCGAATCGAGTCTCTGGTCTAACTATGCCGTTAGTACTGAGTTACATGGTCGAGATCAAGATCCGAGCTCTCATCAGGAGCATGAGTGGAAAATCACATCGATATCCGGCCGCCAATCCATAAGGCCGTGTCCACTTGCTCTAGTAGAAAGAGCCCGAGGCTTTCTGTAAGTTTGGAACTTACTCTATCCCAGTAGTATTCGCCCACCTTTCGATAATTGCCTCGTAATTGCCTCTGGGATATCTACACATATTGTCCGTTACAATCCGTTACAATCCGGTGTGTCAAAACCCTTCTGCTGCATTTGTATGGCCCATGGTTATTGGTCCGAGTGCGCGATATCTAGGAACACCTAAATAGTTGTCACAACCCGAGCGCTTATTTAAATCCGGGGTTCCGGTATCGATTGCCGATGATTCCGCCTTCTACTACGAGCGACGCGCTGTTGCTCGCCCGGTCTCGGAGTTGACTTGACTTTCTGAAAGATTTTGCATTGCACTCCTTCGACTTGTGTCTTTGATCATATGACCGGCTGAATCCCCGTAACTAGCCCGAAGATTTCGAGAACCTGTGAATGACAGAATTAAAAAAGCAAAAAAATAAAAAAGAAAGCCAAGAGAACAAAGTTGCTACTAGAAACCCCAATAACAGGTAATAACAAGCTGCAGTTAACCGGGAAAAAATACTGGACGAACGGGGATTTGAACCCCGGACCCTTCGCAGATCATTGGTGCTTTCCGAATTTCTTCAGAACAATGCAAAGCGAATATCATACCCCTAGACCATTCGCCCGTATGACTTCATTGCGGATACCTGATAACAAATCGGTTCAAGTTCATGACGTACCAGTATCACCATGTTCAGTTGCTCTTTGGTACCTCTTGATAACTTTTTCAGCAGGTTGAAAAGTATTTGACCACATTCATGAAATTCTCAAATCTCTTTCTTAGGCTTATTCATCCGCACACCTCGGTACTCGCCAGTAACCGTCTTTATCAACGCGAGAAAAATTTAAATTAATTGTCCTGATTGCCTAACCGGTTGCCTACCTACAAACTGTCAAAGTCCTCATGGGTACCCGCGACACCAAAGAAGTGAACCACCTGCTATCTTATTTTCAAAGCCGATGAGAACAAGGCATGGTATATATGGTAACAAAGAAGCAATGCACAGCCGAAAAGATAACACGAGATATGAAAGCACTTTGTCATGACTAACAAACAACCGTGAGAGAAGCACAAACAGAAGTCGTGGAGGACTTGGCATCAATGGAGAGCATTGACACGCGACAGTTACTGATGTGACCTCGAGGCATCGCACGCCTTCAAGCAGGCAGAAGACCATCCCACTACCTACTCAATAACCTTACGCGCCGCCAAATCATACCGATCTCCCGCCCTCAAAAAGTAAAACCGTTCATTCTTCGGCGGCAGCACCTTCTCCTCACTGCCCTCCCGACTCCAAAACCCCCCATCATAAATCGCACAATAGCTCGCACCAATAACCCGCGCATCATCCCCCTCCACCACAAACGCTGTATTCTCATCACACCCCAGACCAAGTAAATCGGGACGCACGCGGAGGATATCAAACATGTCGAACTGCCGTCCGCGGACGAGAACGTGCTGATCAACAGCTACGCCGCGCAAGTAGCCGAAACCGACGGTATGATCGCCCACGAGAATCTGGTTCGAAGACGTATCCCCGCGCGCGAGGAAACTCGCCTGGATACTCGCGCCCGCGGAACTCCCGCCAATGACGCCGCCGCGGTCCAGGACCGCCCGAAACGCCGCCTCCGTCTTCGTCCCCGCGTAAGCGTCGACAAGTCGCCATTGTCGGCCGCCGCCGAACCAGACGCCCGTAGCGTTAAGCAAGGGCTCCACGAATACGTCTGTATCCGCGATCTTCGGATCATATGTGTGCAAGACCGTCACGCTCGCGGCCCCCAGACGCCGAAAGTCAGGCGCATTCGCGGCGTCTTGGTCGTAGGAGGATGCCCCGTCCGCGGTGGGGATGACGATTATAGGACCCCCTTTTGCGCGTGTGACGACTTCTTCGAAGATGGAGTCGCTGAGAGAACCGCCGCCTACCACGACGAGGGATCCGTTCGTTGGACCTACGACGGGAGTCGCCATCGTGGACTGGGAGGTGAGGATGAGAAGGGCGGAGAAAGCTTTTGTTGTGAAAATACGCATGGTTGGGAAAGGGACCTAGATAAAGATTTTTATGAATTATTTTTGAATTTTTTTTTCCTCAAGCCGATCCTCTGATCCAAACTACCTAGTGAGTGGGTGAGAAAATGATGATGTGGATAGCCCGGATATCCAACTCCGTCGTCAACTGCCTAGTCGCGTTCCCTCTTTATACACCAACATGGTTCAGTCACTTCAGTATACCAACGTATCAACACATACCCCCCTCACTTGCCTATCTGGAGTCTACATAGTGTAGATGATGCCAAATAACATCATCACGGCCAGTGGAAGCCAAGACGTTTCGATGCGCCGGGAATAGTTTCCCGGCAAGGCAGGTGGTTGTGATTTTTGTTTACTACGCTTTTTTTTTTTTTTTTTTTTGGAAAAAGATTGTTCATGCAGGTTCTCGTTTTGAGCGAGATAGCGAGGGTTTGGGGGGTTCTGATTATTACGCCATTGCTTGAGAGAGAGAGAGAGGGATTTGGTTACATGCTTATAGGTAGGTATTGCGTGATGCAGCTTTGGTGCGTTCTTGGCTCATGGAGAAAGAGGAGATGAGTGATTTGATATTTCGGTAGACAACACATCAAAGGACACCATTCTTAGCATTACTGTACGTTCTTAGGCACTTGGTCTACACGACAGTTTCGTCGGTGATCGCGATTGACTTGCAAACTATCAGTTTGTGTGTTCCCTATACTACTCTGCTACAGAACAGAATCTGGAGATAGCGCAAAGCATTGATCTCGCAGGAGCTGACTACAGTGCACGGGACCCAAGAATTCTGACACTCGTGGAGCAAGTCGAGTTAAGCCAACCATTATGAAAAGAAGTTGCCAATACGCCATATGCTCCCCTCCCTTGAACGTGATGCCATTACCACCCCCCACTCCAAACGCAAAACAACGCTGCAGTCAGTCGACGGGACATAAGGTAGCTTGGCGACTGAAAAAAAGTCGAAATCGGATGAACTCATCAAGAGGACGCCAATGCCGGGAAGAATGGACGAAAACGACTCGACGGGTGGAAAATCCGGTATCCTTTTGCCCTGGAGAACGGTATAATATGTACATAGACCGCTTGTGCTCAGTGCTTGGGTAGCGTTCCTCAAAGTAGACGGAAATAAATGTATGGTGCTAATGGTTCTTATCGCTTCTTTCCTATGGAAGAACCTTCAAAGCCAGCTCGGCTCTTGGATTTCTTAGCGCCCTTCTTTTTGCCGGCTTTGCCCAGGAGCTTCTCATCTCGTCGCTTTCGAATGTTTTCTTCTCTCTTCTTCTGTCGGTCCTTAATGCTCTTCTCAACGCCTTCCTTTCTGGCTGCCCACTCTTTGCTGCTCTTCTTCTTGGTGACCTCCTTGCGTTTGACGGCCTTCTTCAACATCTTCTCGTCGTCCTTGATCTTGTCTCCCTCAGCCCGTCTCCGAGCAGTGAGCCAAGCCTCCTTTTCTTCAACTTCCTTTCGTTTCTCTCCATCCATAGCCTCCAATCGTTTCTTCTGGTTCTCGACCTTGAGGAGTGCCGTCTTAGGATCCGACGGTCCCTTTTTGGGAGTTCTGTTGAGGACGTGTGTAAGATCGTGGGATAACTGGGATCCATCATCGAAACCAACACGGCCAAAGGCGAAGTTGTGTTGTTCATCGGAATCGGCGTCAGGGCTAAGAAGTCTACCTGGCGACTCACGCGCGGATGCTAGTGCTTCCTCACGTTTTCGTTCTTCTTCGAGCTTAGCTTGTCGTCGTACTTCCTTCTTATGGGCCTTGCGCTCAGCTTGCTTTTGACGGCGAGACTCTAGCAATTCTTCCCTGGTACGTATGGGTTTTCCATCTTTGTCGGCTTTCCGGGCGTCTCGGAGGGCCTGAATTTTGGCGGCCAGACGAGCTCGCAGGGCAGAACTATCCGCGGGCACCTTTATTTGTTTCGGCTTATCAGATGTCTGGTCAGTAGAAGAAATAGATGTGGTTACACTAGGCGCCTGGCCTACAGAATCGGCGGGCGTGCCATTCGTGTCAAAGACAGGAGATTGTGGAGTGTCGGTAGGTGATGCGTCGGATTCTGAATCGTCAGAGTCATCGGCACTGCCTGCTTGGTCTTTCGCGTCTTCTCCCATCGACTCAGTGGGTACCTGTGTGGGGTCTGACTGTGACTTATTCGTCTTGTCTTCTCGCTTGCCAAGTTTTATCTTGTTGACACCCTTAACAGTTCTCCGGTTGTACTCAGCCTCTTCGTCTCGCAACCGTTGTCGCTCGGCCTTCCGTTCTTTGCGCGCTTCTTTCTTCTCCTCCTTCCGCCGTTCCTTCTCAGTTAACTCCGCTTCTTCGGCGTCCTGCTTTTGCTTCTTCTTCGACTCCTTGGCAGTCTTTTTCTTCATGCCTTGGCGGGGCTGTTCCGCCTCGATGCCCTCAACTTCTGACCAGTCATCATCGCCATCTTGCATCTGGTCACGTTTACGTTTCTTTCTCGCCTGTTCCTCCATGACTTCTTTGGCACTTCGGTTGAGCGCACTATCCGGGTCGAGTTTGTTCCGTCTCGCCTCTGCGGCTTGTGCCTTGCTCTGCTTTTTTCGTTGCCACTGGTCCTACAAGGGGAGATGTCAATAAGCGGCTGGTTCGTGCAGGGCGGGGTGACAACCGCGACAACATGTAGGCACAATAGCTATAGCCTGTAGTCGGCGGAGTAACAGGTCGAGGTTGGACATACGCTCGCATCTTCACCATAGTACATCTTGGCGGGAATAAGTGATAGCAGACCGTCAAAGGCCTTCTGAGAGTTGAGGAGGCGCTCCTGTAATTTGTAGATGTTAGTTATGGAATGATATGTCTCCACCACGCTTCTCTGCCAGCACGCGACAAGACAAGCGATAGACCGAGGGGATAGAAACCTTAAGCGACGAATCCTCCATCGTGACTTGACACGGCGCACGATTTACTCCTAAATCCACGGTCTGGAGACACTCTGCGGCGTTTACGGGCGAAGTTCGATGACTCGGAAGAGGTCTGGGGTAAGTGAAGGATGATAAGGATGCAGGAAAGAAAAAAACACCCTGGACCTAGCGTATTCAGGAAGCGGGTTGAACAAACCGGGCCCGCTCTTGGTTGGGGTACTGGTGCAGAAGCTGGTGGAGCTCAAGGTGGCGGGTGGGTTGATTTTGTTGACAGCCGTTTTTTGGAAAGTGCGAAGAAAGTTCGCTTCCATTTGAGGGTGCCAATTTTGCGCCAGGTGGCACTCACTGTCACTCGCACCGTCAGCTGTTTTTTAGTGGGTGGAGCTAGCCCGTTTCCCCGGAGCCCACACACCTATACATGAATATGTCAGCAACCGGAATTCGATATATCCTTAATGCCAGGGTATTTCTCTATCCGATTCGCTGGCGTGGGGACTCATCGTCTTCGAATCGAAATCTCCCACGTTCTTCTTCAGCCGTGGATACTTTTATATCTACACCTACTACCCACACATACCTACACTGCTCGCCACCCCAGTTGACACATTGCATTGCTTTACAAACTCTTCTCTTGTTCGGTAAGGTGCGGGACCAGCCGCCTGCCCTGCACAATTCGTCGCATCAACGGAAATGACGCGAATACTCCGGCGCCAG